GGAGTCAGTCCACATTATAATGTTCAGAGGAGCAGCTCTTATATCCTGATGACAATACAGGTTGGACTTTCTGCTCTAAAAAGCTCTTGATGTACTCAAAAGTGTACCTGTGTTGTTTCCAAATGCAGAGGGGATTTTTTCAAGCTGCACAGTGCTCGATTTTTTCTGCAATCCTGAACACCCAGTGGGGCTACAGCAGGGAGAGACAGAGACAAGCATAGCATCCCCACCAACTGAGAAGCAGGAAATGTGCTCTATTTGCCCAAATTTAATTCTTGTGTCAGGTGTGTGCACTACTTCACCCACAGGGAATGACAAATTGAAACTTCTCGTAGCAGCAGTAGGATGGCGCTCCCTTGGGAGGAAGCCCGACATAACACTGTTAGATTGTTTCCTTTCTCATTGGAGAGCAGGAGCGGCTACATATAGAGTTTGCTTACAACACATCACAGGACTTTTGGGTCTTTGCAGTACAATTCGTCTCAAAGTTAACGCTCTCTAACAATCAGCTTTGCCATTGTTTGACATTGCCGAGGGCTGCGTTAAAATAGAAAATATTCCCAGTACATGCATCCTCTGCTAGGACTGACACTGTAATTCAGGTCTGTTCTGCAACATGCCTCGTTCGGCACACATGATGGAGGTGGCCTATGATGGATTTCTGTTGCAGTGATGCAGCACGGTCTGGGCTGCAGAGATATTATAATGTGGAGTACTCTCAGACAATTGGTTGTGGATGAACACAGGCTTGAGGCATAAAGAGTGATTGTGCAATATGCCTTGCAAAAGCAAACAGTGGCTCTGCTGAATGAAATGCAGAGAGGACAGTAAAGCCACGGTGACTCACTTCAAATCTCACTCAGATAGCCCTCCAGGATGCCCTCTTTTAATGCAAACACAGAGAAAATGGTAAGCAACAGAAGACTATTATGACCCCGTGTGTACTGTACAGTACTGCGTGTTTGTCTGAACTGCAGCTTTAGTATTCAAGAAGAGCCTTCTCAGAAAATCATCATCATGGCATCAGGCAAAAATAGAACAGGACAAAAGACTGAAGGCACATAACTACGATCATTTACACCATTCTGCCAATGATGAAGCAGTTTCAAGCCCGGAGCTTTCCGTAGAGAAAATAACAATGCAGGAAAACACTGAGCAGTGCACTACACTCAACCACAAGGGAGGTCAAAGCTGACGCCGGGAAAGAATTCATATTCAAGGGAGCTATGAAATATGAGCTTTGTGTGCTGCCAAATTGATTTAGCTGTAAAAATTCTTTTCATTTTGTTCCATAAAGATGCTCATACTTTTACAGCTCCGCCGCCTATAGCAGCAGGCCTCAATGATTTGCTTAGAATTTACAACCAAGGTCATAATCAAAGCGGGGCTCCCTTTGCATGCCTAATGCTGCCTTGAAGAAGACCGGAATGGAAATCATCCTTTTCACTTCAAAAAGTCCGTAATTCTGAGCTACTCTGATTAGTTTAATGCTTGGATGGATAGGCCCTGCTCCCTGAGTTAAAAGAGAATACCAACTCAAGATTTTTAAATTCATCACTCTGTCGCCCCATGAAGATTTGCTATCTCCAACAGCGGATTTGTTAAAGATGGATAAAGTCGTTGTATAGCATGCAGAATATTTTCAGTGAGTTTGAGAATGAAATTTGTAATACAGCACAATGCAAATAGCAGACTGACTGAGTGAGATCGTCATCAATGGAGCTCTGTTTTGATTGTGGAGCTGGAGTGAATCATTTCAGGATTTAGCGGCACAGCCTGTAGACGTATCTCAGGATTTAGCGGCACAGCCTGTAGACGTATCTCATGTCATTGCCATTGACAGCTTGAACTGCAAAGGCAGATTGTAGTTTCTGCATCTCGGCTTGGGGACACTGTTATTTGTGGGCAGAAGCGCTAATTGAATTATTCAAGCAAATCAAAGTGACACGTTCATTATGACATGTGTCAAGTGTTGTAAAAGATGCGTTGCTGTCTGTTGCACTAATATGACACCATAACACTGTGGACTCTTTCTAGTCATGTGATTTATACAAGTCGCATGAAATATTAATAACATTAGCCCACTTCCTAAATCATTAATCAATGTTCATTAGGATCGTCAATAACTCAAAAACAATATGCAAAACGGGCTAGCTACTTATCATAGCATGTGATATCTAAGCAGACAAACAAAACAAGAGCCAACTATCAGAACCTTAAAGCTGCACTTCATAACTTTTTCCACTTGGGGCAGCAGAACATGGTGAATGCACAACTACTGGAATAATATCCATTCAAAAAGTTGTTCAAGTGCATCAAACAATTGGCTATTTACAAACTACCTTGATGCAGAGCATTAGCATTCATTAAGCAGTTTTTCTGGTGAATGTAAATCCAATATCTAATTTAATGTTTTGGACTCGACCAACTCCCGAGGAAACCTCCGGCTCTGTAGATGCTGGATGTTAAACTTTCTTGAGAAGCTTAAACTGTTTATAAGGCGTCACCTCATTGGTTGGAGCTCTACCTTTTCAGAGCCTTGAGTTTGGCATTTTGACCGTGACTGTATTTTTAAACAACTGCACGCTTTTATTCAGATTTTATTCAATCACTGGTAGCACCTTGTAGAAGACTTAAAACTGTCTATTGAGCCCATAAACTCACCAGTAAAATGTTGTCTGAAGATATTAAGAAAACTAAGTACATAGGGACATATTCTGGTGGGGTTAAATATGATACACTTATTTAATGGCCCACTTTTAGTCGTTTTAAAGAAGGCACTTCCATTTGGTAACACTTTTGAAACCAATCAGCCAATCTATCTGAGAATAAATAATTTTCAAGTTCTTCATTTGTCTCTGATGGTTAGGCCAACACTTATTGTTGTAGTGTGTTTGCACTGGATTTTCATATGTCAACCATACTGTACAGTGGAAAATAAATGTATTAACTATTATGTAACTGAGTGAAAGGTCGGTTACCAAGAACATTTTCAATTCATCTGTAATTTCAAGTTTCAACAGGCAGTTGATTTTAGCCAAAAAGCATTAGACAAAACATAATTTACTTTCCAGGGACCAAAAGGCAGACAAAGTTAATATGTAGCTTGTGATCACAATAATGTATTACAAAAAGGAGAAGGAGGAATTTTGATGTTTTCGTTCCAAGTTTAAATGTATTCGGGTCGTTTGAAATCTTTGAGCTGAGTTAGAGCAAAGGCCAACTGTCTGTCCACCTCCAACTTACAAATGTGGTTCAAAATGGTCCACCTCTCATTGTTTGTTACACACACACACGCACGCACACACACACCACACACACACACACACACACACACACACACACCGTCCCAAAGGTTTGAGGTTGACAAAGCGGGGAGGAGTTGCCATCGCTCTCTGACTGCACCACTGAACCGGAATGTGGTCCAGTGAGGAAATCCAGACATTTCCAAATTTATCGTTGAATAAACTGGCAACGTTGAGAGCGGCTGACAGGCCATTCATCGTGGCGGCTGCTGGCCCAATGGCGTGCGCGGACAGGGCCGCTGCGCTTTGATTTCCTGTCCTGACCGCCATGACAGATGGGTTACAGAGTGGGTGGAGGTGATGCAGCCTCTCACCACCACAAGGCTTCACCTCTCTGCCCACCATTCAAAAAACACTGGTTGCTGCTTTCAGGGCCCCCAGGGGCCGTGGTAGAGGAGCGGAAGTGGTGAAGAAAGGGGCTGCTCTGATGGGTGATGTGACTTTAAATATTTGGGAGTGGTCTTAAATATAAAAAAAAATCCTTTCAAATGAGAGTTATACTAGCTGATGAAATAACAAAATCAGTAGTGGTCAGAACTTCTGTAACGACCTGGCTGGTCAAAGCGACCACTTTCAAAGTGGATTTTAATAAGATTTGAAGATTATGGATTAAAAAGTATTCCATTCTTAAAATTCAGCTCAGAGCTGGGGTGATGAGTTAGTGACGTACAGGGAATGTCAAAGCTCAAATCTCATCCAGAGATTTTAAATATCAGTAGCCTCTGTTTAATCATGACACATCAAGGGTAGCCGAGTTCACAAGAGGCTGATTGAACGATTTTGTACTATGATGCATTAATGAGATCATTTTCATACAAAAATGAGTCAATAGTAAATAGCTTAGGGGAAGGGGAGGGCTGCTCTTTCTCCTTGGATAAGATGCGGTTCACGGTGCAGCAATGAGAGGACGGTGACAGCAGCATTTTGGGAGGAAAACACTGCAAATGAGAGGCAAAGGGAGCACATTTCAGCACACAGGCAGTTCATTTTTCACATCAGTGTCTACTTTTGTTCTCGGCAGGCTGCCAAACACATTGATGTAGGCACTATCCCTCCTCCACAGCAGTAATTACGCTGCTGGCCAGTGCTTGATTAAAAGATCTAATCTGCAAACTTTGTGTTCAACATCTCCCAACAAGATCCAGTGCTTTAAGCCTGTTTCTCTGTGTTGTTGCAACGCTGGAATCCACATTTTTTTCATCATGGACAACAGCCAATGAAGTGCAGGGAAACATCCTTTTGCTTTCTATTCTGTGTCAGGGTGGAGGTGTAATTGCACCAGCAGATGTATTATTCAAGAGGAAAGCATGCTGTGGTTGAATATAGCCTTAACCCCAGTGAGTTTATAAAGCTCTGAAGGCAGAAGTCAGGCCCTTTTTTCAGTCTAAACTTGGAACTAAAACGAGCAAACCTTGTTGCTTCTCCACCTGAAGATCTGTTAGAGCTTCTCAAATTATCATTTGAGGGGGAGTGAGGAGCTAAGGTCAGAAACCTGACTAACATTAGGTTAGTTTAGCACAAATGTTTGAAATACTGAATACAAATTCTCTGTTTTAATGTTGCAAGAACTTTTTTTGGCCTCCTCATTATATTACAGGCGTCTAGAAATATAAAAGATGATGAGTGCAGTAATGAAAAACCCTTTGAGACAATGATGCTGCTGACAAAGTAATAAATAGCTCTAAGAGTTCTTACCCTCTCTGAGCAGATGGGAGTAGATGAGCCAGAGGAGCAGCAGGCAGCAGAGTGACGCACCTCCACCTGCGGAGAGCGTCTTCGCTCCAGACTGCATCCTACACCTTCAACCTTCTTTAGATTATCCAAACTTTGAACCCCTGGAGCAGCTCAGATGTCAAACAGATCAGTGGAAGAGTGGCTAATCCAGTGGCGTCTCCACAGCCTGTCGTCGGCATCCATTTTGAGGTTATAATAAAAGAGGGACTGATAGAAATCCCCCCTTGCTTTTCAAATCCCCTCGGTGAGACGCATATCCATCCAGGGCTGATCGGCAGACACACACGCACACACACACATAGGGTACAGTGTCACCAGATCTGGCCAAGTTTACGCAGCTGCTGCTTCAGGGACTGGAATTCACAGACTGGCTTCTGCAAAAACTAGAAGTGTGTCGAGGAAGAGGAGTGAGCGGCAGCAGACCCCCGCAGTTTTGATCCTCACTCGGTGATGCTGATGATGTTGTAAAAAATTTAGCCGCTAAACATCCCCTGAACGCCGCTGTCGCCTCTTTCCCCCTCCTCTGCGCTCCGCACGGTTATTAATATTATTCCCAACCAACTTCAGCGCCGAGCAGAGCCCGGGTCTGTGTGTGACTCTACAGAGAAACGCGCAAGTTAACCCGCGCAGACATGACGAACATACCAATCAGCGCGGAAACTTGTCCTCAAAAACGCATCTCTCCAGCTTCTAAAACAAGCGTTTGGAAAAACAGCTCTAGGCGCATATGCGTCATATGTGGCCACATATGCACAGCAGCGAAGGCGAAATGTCACGTCAAAACAAAAAAAACGGCGGGTCTCACGCAGCGCAAGTGCCGCTGGACAAAGCGCACTGTGAGCGCGTCGATCCAGGCGCTGCAGTGAAGTTAGACACACTTGTCACCTGTATGAGCCTTTGAGAAGGCTCTGGAAAATTGTCAGTGATGATGCCTGGCACCCCGGGCTCGAAGAAAAAAAAAGCTCTCCTCCTCACAAAGTCAAGTGCTGGTTACAGATGAGAGTGTGTTAAACCTTTTTTCTGTCCCGGTCTGCTTCATTTACATGCAGGCGACGCTGAGGAAGAGGATTTCCCTCCTCTTCAATCCATGGAAAGAAACTCTGCCTCTGCTGCTGCACCCTGACTCGCCTTGAGTTACAATGTTTCCATCGGCTCTCTCTCTCTCTCTCCATCTCACTCTCCCTCTTCCTCAAACACACGCACACACATACGTACAGTGCCCTAATTCCTTTAGCAAAGTGAGAAGCAAACTTTGAGCTCCCAGGCTATGAATCCAAACTGTAGATGATGATTCTTGTTTACACAGTTACATGTCCCATCTCAGCCTAAAGCCAGACACAAAGCAGCACCATGCCTTCCTCCTTCATTACGACTTTCCTCTTGATGTCTTTATATCTTCTTCCAAAGGTGGAAAACACCCTTTAGGGCTGCATGGTATACTGTTAACATTTAGCAGCACCGCATTGCCATTGCATTCTGGGAAAATGTAAGAGGTCTGTTCCTTCTGGGACTGACAGGTATAACATGTGCAGAGCCTCAGAGCTCTTTACAGCACAAGTTCCATTATAATTTACGGCATAAAATCACATTATGTGTTAGAGTGTGTGCGAGAGAGCGAGAGAGAGAGAGAGAGAGAGAGAGAGAGACAGAGAGAGAGAGAGCCAAAGCCCTGCAGATGCCAGTCTATCTTCTGAAAGAGGACCATTTAAGACTCCCCTGCCACTTGAGGACCATTACTATAACTCAAACCCCTCTTGCCCGCACTGAACACACACACACATACACACACTAAATTCCATGACCAGTGAATGTGCACTTTATTAGCAGATGGAGAAAGTCCCTCAGTGTGCTGCTGTGCTATCAGCCCTCCACTGAATGGCTTTTATGATGACGTATTGGCTTGTCACATCACCACTATATGAAAAATGACTGAGACTCACACGGCACAGTCGATGCATTTGTTGAGTCTTGAAATGATTTTTTTTTGTAGATTTTTCCACCTTACTGCCACATCAGAGGGTCATATCTTTAAACCTGCACCCCTTTAACCAGCTGCAGCACTTTACTTTACAAGGCCGATGGTGGGAATAACTACAGGGAGAGTTTCTGGGCTGAGGCGACTTTTGTTTTCTTGTCTCGTCTACAGCAGGGCTCAGCCAGTTATCAGAGTTGAGAACCACAATTTCAGACTGTCAAACTGACGTCCCAGTTGGGGTTGCGATGTAATTAATCATCATAAATCACAGTGACTGGCAGGATTGTAAAAATTCTGCCAGTTTATTTTCACCCATCATATCTATCTCAGTGTTTACCAATAATACACAGACTTATTTGTAATTGCATTTGTGCATGCGTGGATTGTAATAATAGCAATGTCGGTGACACACTTGCATGCCCTTCAAAAAAAGCTGTGTTTGTAAAAAAGAAAAAAAATGGAGTAAAATTATGATTTATTCATGCGCGATGCTTGAGCACACGCATTATAACTGTCATTGTGATTATTGTGTTTCTTATGTCAGTCATGCAAGTGTGTCATTTGGCTGCCATCTTTGATCAGGACTAAATGTCAGTGTGTGTGTGTGTGTGTGTGTGGTTTCTCCAGAGGAGGGTATTTATAGCAAATAAACTAAAGCACTGATCTGCAAAAAAGTTTAGATTTTATGATTAAATCATCATATACTGAGTTAAACGTCTACTCTTACATGCTACAGTTTGAGTCAACAGAATATCATGTTTTAAAATGTAATCATCCTTTTTAAATAAGCATGGCTTTAACTGTACGACTGTTTGAACTTGTTTCCAACTAAACCGGAAATCTTTGTTTACATTGGTAATCCAGTTAAATATTATCAAACTGTAACATAGTTTTTTTTTATTACTTTGTGTACTTTTTTAATGCATTTACTTCTGTACTTTAAACAAAAGTGGCTACAACATTTTACTGTAAACATTTCACCACATGAACCAACATGTTTTTTTACCAGGCTATGCCCGCTGCATGGCACCAAACAGAAGACAAAGTTATCGTCTAGTCTATGAACATAGTGGAGCACATGGCAGGGAAAAAGCAGGGTGTTTTTTTAGTAGATGGTGGATACCCAAAAGAGCCAAAGGGGAGAAAAAATAAAGAAAATATTGATTCTCTCGTCCCCTTTGGCTGCTGTAAAGCCAGTTATTATCTCATGCATGGCTATTTTGCAACTCTGATTATTTTTGGAAGCATTTTTGGCACTAATGCAAGAAATCAATTTTGAATTGCCCCCCGGGGACAAATAAAGTTTTTTGGGAATTTGAATTTGAATCTGAATTAAGTGTCATTTATGAAGTTTATATAAAAGTTTTGTAAGGGCTGAATTCTTATTAGGCTGCTTTAATTTTAAAGTTCTTGAGAGATGCATGCTAGAACAAAAGTTGATGTCCCTTTATGAAGTTGCATCATGATGAAGACATTATAACAAATCATGGAAGCACATTGCAAATTTGTAAGAATCGAAAACTATTTTAACCGTATTGTGAGTTTGAGGTTCAGGAAGCTGCAGCACTTTTCATTTCACTCTGCAGACACAAATGAAAAGCCACAAAGAATAATCTCAACACTGAATGCCATGTTCCACCTTGTACAGTTACCAAAAGGTTGCCGATAAAAAGAGAGACATGAAGGAAGAATAAAGACAAATGATTTTCATGTGTTACTCTTCAAAGTGACATTTCTGAGCCGAAGATACAAAATGCAGCGTTTGTTCACTTTATCCATGAGTAATGTCATGATATGCCTATGTGTGTGTGTGTGTTTGTACCTGAAGTTGGAGGAAGGTCAGAGGTCGTGGCCAACACTGAAGCTGTAGATCAGATGACAGGGCGGTAGTGGTTTGAGCTCAGACTGAAACATTAGAACGCAAACTCCAAGCAAAGACATATTTTAAGTATTTCACTGTCCACAATCTTTTCTTCTGTAGCTCATGTTTTGTTCTGTCAATTATTCCTGTAAACTAGTTTGCACATTAACGTGGTTTCACTGGAACAGGTGGACAATTTGTTACAGTAAATTTGAAACATTTTTCATTTCATTTGGTGACAAAAAGCAATTTAGAGACACCCCAAAAGTTTGAGCACGAGCATAAGGATATGCAGGCATACGGACGACTCCTCTCGTTTCAGTCACCGCCTGTTCACAGGCTTTACTTACACGCCGGAGAGGAGCATATGGTGCCTCAAAGCATCTGTTCAAATGGACCTTTCTTCTGCTAAATATTGAAACAGTGGGCGGATGCTGGAACTACTGTACATTTATTAAAGATTCAAAACTGAACACTTTGAAGTTGTGGTTTTTGTTTTTACAAAGGGATCTGTAAGTAATACTCAAGCCTCTTAAATGTTTGTTACTAGTTTGTAGAGGATTTCTGCAGAGACACTTCAACCCACTCCTGCTGCACCTTTAAGGAGAGATATGTTGTTAGTTTGGACAGAGTTGGCAAATTACAAAGCTTCCATTCATTCATTGTGCGGCCAATTCCTTTTTTTTTGCAAGCTGGAAACGAATGCGAATTACAGGAAGTTGTTGTTGTTATACTTTTTTTTTAGTCTGAGCATTGTGACAGAGTGCATGAATGTACATTTAGATCTTTTTTATTGTTAAAACTGGCAAATTGATAAAATCTCCTCTCATTAGAGCCTCTATAAAAACCTTTCAGGAAGTATTAAGCACATCAAAAGAGAAGAGCACATGAAAGGAGGCTCAGACTTCAGCTCGCAAAATTTGACTTCTGGACTGCCAGTTTGTAAAAGAAAAAGAAGAAGAAGAAGAAGGCATACTTTATTATTACCTGAAGGGAAATAAGAAATGTTTACTCTGTTTGTGAACATGCTATACACACATAGGCAAGAAATATCCTATGGATCCTATGGACATACACTATGGAGAGATGTCAGAGTGAGGGGCTGCACACTGAACACCGCCCCCAGTGGAGGGGAGTTCAGTGCCTCGTTTAAGGGGACATCAGCAGTCTCCAGCAACCAGTGCCAAGTTCCATACTGATACTGGTCTGTGTCGGAACTAGACCGGCCCATTAAGTCCAAACTTAGCCAACAAACGAACACACTCACTGAGTTTGTGGGAGACCGACCGTACGTTTGAGTGCAGCTCATCCTCTGACTGAACTCAGAACTCAACAAAACTCTGCCTCGTTCTGCTGCTTCCCTTCATTCTCTTGTCTTTTAACTCTCTACTCTGTACATTTACGTAGCAGAACCCTACAAAGTGAAACCTTTTTGTTGTCAACAGATGCATCATCCCAGCAGTTCTTGCTGGGGTGAATTCAGGTGTAGTAATTTCTCTTGAATGATTCTGAATCCAATCAAACCCACTCTTAAAACCCCCCATGTTCTCTCAGAACACCCATTATTAAAGCTCCTGTGTGGAGATCTTAGCTGCTTATGAAAAGACTCAATTAAATACTGATGCTCATTTGGCCTTAAAAACCAAACCAGAACTATGGCAACAAGACTCTATAATCTCTGTAATGTCATTTTTAAAGCCATGGGGTAGGTTTCAGACAAGGTTCTTCACAGCACCCTGCAGAAATATCCTTTTTGTTCAATTTTCATTGCAAAGATTAAATGTGAGTGAAACATTTGACGGTTAAAATAAAGCAGTACAAGATGTGTATGCTTAAGTACTTACAAAGAAGAGAAGAAAGAAATAAGAGATACTTCTTTGTCCATAAGGGGCGTCAAAATCCACACAAACTAAAAGTTCTTCTGAATGCATGAATCTGATCAAAATGTCCGTATCAAACTCTGTAAAGTGATGGTAAATGTGTGAGCAAAATATTCAGATTAATAAACCTTACAGAGGTTACTTTTCAGGATAGATTTGTTAGATTTAGTGGCATCCAGTAGAAACACTGCTAACCCCTCAGTTCACCTTCTCCGGTAAATTTCTGCAAACAATTCCACAATGTCCTCCTTTGAGCCAGTGTTTGGGTTCGTGGTTCCGGGCTATACTGGAGAAACACATGTTCAAGAAGTACAGTAGACCTCCTTTCTTTGTTGAAATATCTGTTCGACCCATTCTCTCAACCATTTCTTTTGCTATCTTTTACTCTTTTTGTTTGGAGCGTTCTAAACGATTCTTGTGCAGGCTTTTAACCATCTCCTTGATCCCTACTTGTTGACCAGGTGTGGTGTCATCCTTGCTTTTGTTGGACACGCCCCTCACCTCCATGTCATCTAGCCAACAAAACTAACCAGCCCACCTTTGCATGCTCCCTAT